TTATTTGATTAGGGGATAGGTAGATATTAGTTGTTTACATTTGAGTCTATAAGCATTTACTTGGTTCGGGGATAGGTAGATATTAGTTGTTTACTTGTGAGTCTATAAACATTTATTTGATTAGGGGATAGGTAGATATTAGTTGTTTACTTTTGAGTCTATAAGCATTTATTTGGTTCGGGGATAGGTAGATATTAGTTCTTTACTTTTGAGTCTATAAGCTTTTATTTGGTTCGGGGATAGGCAGATATTGAACGTTTATAGCTAAGTGTACATGCATGTACTTTGAGAGGGGATAACTAAAAATTGGGCGTTAATATATCCGGGTCGAATATGGGTTAAATTTTGTTGCAGGTTTATAAAAGATGACTGACGTCTTAAAGTTGAATTTATCGAAGGCATTTTGTGACCTTTGCAAAGCTGAGTGTTGCATTCTGAAGGGCTGCATCTAAGTAAGAAACGAGAGACGTACCAACATTTTTTTTTAATATCTACTTTTTTTCCTTTCTTTCATTCCGTTATGTCTTTTTTCTTCACAGAAAAAATAATTAAAAAAGCCCCCCCCCCATCATATTTCTAAAATGTCCAGATTCTTTTCCCAAGTGTTAGGAAATTATATTTTCAGTTACTTGGCCCATGTAAATGTCGATCTGCTATTAAGTCATCATTTCCCACGTGAGCATACTTTCTCTGCAGGAAAGACATGGGTGTTTTGTTATTATTTCATAAATCATTTACAAAATCCCGCAGACGTTCACAGAGAATTCCCTACAACCAACACGAGAATACTAGCGAGGTGAAGCATTCAAACATTTAAGAATTCTTATTATGCTGCTGCATAAATTTCCAGCATTTCAAAAATATGTTGTTTTTTTTAATTTATAACATATAACAAATTTATACCATATAACAAATTTATACCATATAGCAAACGTTTAGTCAGTCATGAAAAGTATTTTCCCGTGCTTTCTCTGACCGTATGCTACATTTCAGTCAAACAATACATCCCATCGTATAAGAATGGTTCAGGTTTTATTTGATTTCTGTGAAGAAATTATGTCCTGACATTGTAGGATCCGTTGGACAGTTTGTTGAGTCGCGAATACAGCCGAAATTACAAGATCTTGGAAGAAAAATACATACTCCCCTTTAAGGTTTGGCAAATACCCTTGACGTCATGGAGATTTTAACAGAATTGTATTCTCTACGAGATTTGTCCGTTTTCTCTATAGCATAGATTGCTTTGAAATGAGAGATATGCTTGCTAGATTTTTTTTCTAAGCGGGTTGGATGAGATATGCCTGATCTCTTGAAATATATTAGTAGGTTTTAAGGTTTCAAAAACATTTTATCATATGTTCCATTTCTTAGTGAAATATACAATGTTAAATTTTTCCTCATGTGTCCAGTTAAAGATTGACACTGGTTTAGTCTTAAATAATCTCATTTTCTTAAATGAATAATTATTTTCAAACAGACTTGTTTTAATTGTTACCAGAATTAGTTAACTACACTGCTTCTAAGAAATTTACGTTGTATACATTTTGCATATGCAATCAGATGTTGCATATATCTTATGTTGGTAGAATAATAAAAAGAAGAGAATTAATATTATTAAAGAGATTTTAGTTAATAATGGATAATAATAAACACTACTTCATTTAAAATATTCAGATAATTTTTTGTTCTCTATTTTGTACACTGGGATTTGGAATGTACCAATTACTAACAGTAATTACACTAAAATAGTCAAAACTTAATAATGGGTGACATTGCTTCATCTAAGAATTTCGAATAATATTGCAAGAGTTCTTTATTTTACCTACGAGGCATTTGGATGTATATATTGCTACTTCTTTATGTGCCGTGTCCCCTCAGGGCGTAGGCGATCGTGGCTCTCCACAACTTTCTGTCCCTTGCAATTTTTGTATTTCTGTTATTTCTCCTAAACCCTAGTCCTCCATCCATTTAGTATGTTTACTAAGGTCACTATGTCATGTGCTGTTTTCCTGTGTTCCTCTTGCCATCAGTTTGTCATGTGAGTATCAGATTTTCTAAGCCCTCCCTCCTCATTATGTGTCTCCAGAAACGTCAACTCACTCTTCCGGGTGTTAAGCATAAGTTTCCTTTTTGTTTCCATTTTCTCTAAAAATTTGTCGTTGCTCACATGTTCAGTCCATGGTATCCTCAGCATTCTTCGGTAGAACCACATTTCTGTTGCTTCAAGTCTCTTCTTCATCTTTGAGGAGATTTTCCAGTACTCGCTATTATACAGGAGAACAGGTATCACATAACAGTTTAGTACTCTTTTCTTTGTTTCTAGCGAAGTTTTTTTTCTATTTCCTAATACTCTGATTAACTTTTGGAATGCATCATTGGCTATCCTAATACGCCTTCGGTTTTCAGGGTCACACTTTTCGTCCTCTCTTAAAACACTTCCCAGATATTTAGGTTTCCGTACTTGTTACAGTTTGGTATCTCATATTCGCAATTTGTACATCGTTTTAACAACCATAAATTCTGTCTACTTACAGTTAATGTTTCGACCTTTCTTCTGCCTTTGAGCAATAGGAATAAAATGGAAAAAATACTAATAAAAAAAAAAATTAATAATTCGCAAGGTTTTGTCTGAGGACGCTCAGTAATATTACAAAATATTCTTCAGTTTGGACACTAGGAATGTGGATGTATCTAATATTATTAAAGTGTAACGAAAAACAATAGAAATTAAAATGAAAGAAATACTAATCTAAAATTGATAATAACAAACAATGATTCATATTATAATTTTAAATATTATAAGATGTTCTTTAGTTTGTGCATTGCGATTTTTAATTAAAATAACATTAGCAAAGCAATAACAACGACAAGACGGAAGGGATCCCCTCAAGTGAAAGAGAAAAAAAGATTTTAGAAGTAACCAGAAACCTAATCCTGAACAGGAAACAAAACTCCTGTTCAAAAGACAGGGGAGGAGTTTGAACCGGAAGATGGGCGAACCTATCTACTCCTATTGAGGACAAATAAATAAATAGTAAATAAAATTTCAGAGTTTGGGCGGAAACGTTAATTGTATAGAGTTGAAGTAGACTTTAGGAACCGGAAATCCAATGCTAAACAGGAAACAAACGATAAATTCTAACCCTGTTCCAAGGACCGGAAAGGAGTGTAAACCAGACAACAGGCGAACTTGTCTACTCCTATTGAGGAAAAATAATTAAAATCAATAGTAAATATAATTTCCGAGTTTAGGCGGAAATGTTAGAAGAATGAAGTAGTCTTGAAAAGGATCCGAACACCCAATCCTTAAAAGGAAACAGGGGATAAACCTCTATTCCTGTTCAAAAGACCAGGGTAGTGGGTGAATCGTATGATGTGTGAACCTATCTAATCCTAAGTATCGATAGTGCTAGTGTAATGAGAAATAAGTTGAAAGATATGATAGTCAAGAATTAATAACTAATAATTATTTATCGCATAAATTCGAAAGCCAACTATAAGAATACATAATGGACGTAATGGGATGAGGGGTATTAAATTATACTGATTTATTCCTCGGTAAAAAGGCATAAATCTAATTTTGTATCACACCGTACATTTTAATATAGAGCACTAAAGAGAAAAATGATATATTCCCTTGTGGCCAGTATAGAATAATACAAAAAATTATTCCGGAAAGGACCATTTCTTAAGGGTCTTTCGAAGAAGTGCGCAGAGCAAAGTGCGAAGAAGTGATGAATGTTGCTTTTCAAACGCTCTAAGAACGAATTCATATTATTCACAGAGAGTAAATGAAGCTTTGACGATAAAGAGCATCATCCATCTTTTATTTCGCTTTAAAATAAATGCTTCCTCAGCAGGACATCAGACCGATGTCAATACATCTTGCAGTTTGATGGGAAAGCAACCCTTTCACACAAGAGAGTTCTGAGATCTCACTCAAAATGTTTAGGTTGCTCCAAGGTGACGCAAATTCCCAGAACTCGTTCTTTGCATAATATTAGGCAACTTTCAGAAGTATTTTCGAGACTTATTCACAATTTCACTAAATATCGGTTTGCCGAAAAAAATGAACACACACACACACACACACACACATATATATATATATATATATATACTATGGGAACATATACCACCATTTGGAAAATTTAATTTTAGAGAAATTAAATTCTTTTTCTGATGACTCTGGGAAACTTCAATTTTACACGATGAACCAGAATCTAAAATTCTAAATTGAGATTTCTCATATATATATATATATATATATATATATATATAATGGACTCTCTCCCGTCGGTTTCGACGTATGAGGATCTGCCAGCTTATTGATTCAGTTATGAAAGATTATGCGATAATCTAAGTGGCATTTAAGACCCGCTAGTGATTATATATATATATATATATATATATATATATATATATATATATATATATATATATATATATATATATATATATATATATATGATATATCCTGAAAAAAAAAATAATTCTGTCGAGTACAGAAAAAGCGCGAATTTGTAAACAGTGACTATTACTGCTAAGACTCCCAACGGACTGAGTTCTCTAAGTCACTGGCGTGTTTATATATATAATCACTTTAAACGTTATTTTTAGTGGCTAGGTGCTCCATTTATTTATTCAACAATATAATTATTTATTTTACGGCCTGAATATTCGAGAAATTTTATTAAAGTAAAATGTAGACTCTCAGGTAGGATTCGAACCCGCATCCCTCTAGGCATAAGAAAATTGTCGTTCGAACTAACCTGACTTAAGCGGCTCGGCCACGGAGTTTTATTTTTCTTTGCCGTGTAAACTCCGTCTGAAACGTGCCTTTCAGTGAAATCCTTCTCGTATGAAATTCTTCGAAATTTCCATATCTTCTCAGTTTCGTTTCAGATTTTGCTTGATCGGCAAGGCTGCTCTGTGGCCGAGTCGGTTAATGCACGTCGGTCGGATCTAACGACAGTTTTCTTTTGCTCAGATGAACGCAGATTCGGATTGCTAAATAAACTATTATCTATCTATCTATCTATCTATCTATCTATCTATCTATCTGGTAAAGTAGAAATACCTCCCATATTTTACATATCTATAAGTCTACTATTCGTCTATGCTTAGTATATTGCTGCCACACATGGTCTAGTGACCTTGCTATTTACCTTGAGCTCCTTGATAAAATCCAAAGAAGAATCGGCTATATTATTGGCCCTGAGCTGGCAACTAGGCTTCAATCACACTCCATCCGCCATAAGTTTGCCTTTTAGTGCCTTTTCTTTAAATAATTTCATGTCGAACTGAACCCTTTATTTCGCATGCTGGGGTAGACTGTTCTAGTTCCACGTACCATGTCTAATAGATGTCACTTATCAGTTATCTTCTGTTAATTCCCCCCTCCATGTTCTCGACCGCCTTAACCAGGTATTGAACTCACACTCTTTGGATCCTGTCACTGGATCTAACTAACGCCTTTATCCACTGTGCCATGTGTCCGTGAGGAGCGAAATAAAGGGTTCAGTTCGACATTCCAACCACCTGAAGAAAGCCGGAGTGTACGACGGCCGAAACGTTGTAATAAATATGGCAACAAAGATGAGAACGATAGTCCGAACAATGTAAATAGTGTACATAATACCTCATCTCAGAAATATAGACAGATACTCTTTGCAGATTATTTAAAACCAGAAAATATTTTTAGATTGTAAGAAATTTGGTGGGGAAAATAATAATGATTTAGTGATACAAGTCTTACTGTTTAATCCATTGTTGGGAGAAGAAAAGGTGGATTCATGCCTTTCCCCAGGGTATTTTTAAGTTTTGCTCGCACTAGACGGATCTTACAATTAATCTGATTTGTTGATCTATAATCTTTATCCATGTGCCAAGTAATTGAATATAACGATCACAAATGGAATTAGAACTCCGCTCTCCGATTAACAATTCTGAGGCATTAGCTATTATATTACACGGACATCTAAACTTAGAGTACTTGGTGCTCCCAAGCGGTTACCTATCTGAGTATGTTGCTTATATTCAGTGATCGTACGGGAACCAATGTTTCAATGTAATATGGCCGTAAGCCTAGCGTTTTGTCGATCAAAAGTCTAATACACCATTGTCCGGGCTTTTGTTTTAGAGGATTTCTATGAATTCTTAGGTTGAGTTAATTCATTATGTTGAAGGTAAGTATGATTTAATGATTTGGTTGAGTGTTTTTGCTATAGAGTTGATAGGTATGGAAATATGTGATTATTATTAGTCTGAATAGTGCTTTTGGCTTGTGGGTTTTTACTTTTCCATAAATGTTTTCTGGCTTATATTCGCCAGTGATCTATTTCTTCCTTGTCGGTAGTAACTAGTTTGCTAATGTTTTTTTTAAGGTTATAATTAGACGCGCAGACAAAACAACACTTATGTCATACGAAACAAAAAAAATATATATCTACAAAGAAAAACTTAAAGACATCTTCAAAGACAAAACAAAAATTTTAAAAACTACACAGAAATCTTACTGATAACCTTAAAAAAACACTATCGCTCCAATATAGATTTGTATGTCAGCACTTGAAACGTATACATAAATTCATACACTACAGTTGAAAAGTTTGAGGTCACCCCTGGTAACTTTTTAAATTGAAGCCAAATTAGTTTTGTACTTTAAATAAGAGATCATTATTATACATAGTTAAAAAAAAAAAGTGACACATGATTTTTTTTTCGTTAGAAATATTATCATGACGAAAAGAAAAAAAAAGCATTTTATGATTAAATTTTGCTCTTGTCAAAATGTCCTCCTTTAGCCTTGATTACTGCAGCACAAATTTTGGGAATTCATTGCAAAAGTTTCTCAAAGTATAAGTTTGATAATTGATTCCATTCTTGTTCATATAATTTCTGGACGGAGTGTACATATAAATTTAATATCTATCACAGTTCATATCTATCTATCTATCTATCTATCTATCTATCTATCTATCTATCTCTCTATATATATATATTCTGTTCGTATCTATTTCAGTCTGTTCCAATCTATCTATCTATCTATCTATCTATCTATCTATCTATCGCATTCTGTTCGTATCTATTTCAGTCTGTTCCAATCTATCTATCTATCTATCTATCTATCTATCTATCTATCTATCTATCTCATTCTGTTCGTATCTATTTCAGTCTTTTCCAATCTATCTATCTATCTATCTATCTATCTATCTATCTATCTATCTATCTATCTATCATTCTGTTCGTATCCATTTCAGTCTGTTTCTATCTATCTATCTATCTATCTATCTATCTATCTATCTATCTATCTATCTATCTATCTATCCCACTCTGTTTCGTATCTATCCCTCCATTTTGATCCTTTCCGAGATCATCATCATCAGAGTGAATTACAAAGTATGATCTTGGAGGAGGTGAAAATTGCTTGTATTAAAAATAAGACAAACTACGGCGCCTTCCTTGATGTATTTTATCTTAACACCAAGAAAGATTATAGAACTGGAAAGGATCAGCATAATCATGAATAAACACAACATGTTTATATTAGTCGATCAATAATTCTGTAGCCTTTAAAAATTACTGATTTTTTTTTAGTGTGTAATCTTCATTCTCTATGTTTAATAGAGAAGTAATCGATAAAATACATCCACCAGGAATTTAATAATGTAAAATAATGATATAAAATAGTCGCTTTTTGGAGCATTAAGCTATAGAATTGTTGCTGTTTCTCTGTGTCTGTGTATCGGCGTATAAATGTATCTGCCAGCAATTAGCATCAAACCTATTATTAATATATTGTATGGCCATATGTCTCTATGACAGCGCATATATCCACGCCCCTATATTCACTGGTAACAAGTACCCTGATGATATCCTCTTTGAGGATAATTCATGGAAGATTAATACATCTAAAATGTACCCGAAAGATTCTTGATTATCTTAGAAATAAGTAATGCATTCCCACTCGCACCCAATACATATATATATATATATATATATATATATATATATATATATATATATATATATATATATATATATATCACTGAGGTCTTTCAATGTCTTCCAGACACCCGATGCAGAGATAAGGGTATTCCTAACATAACTCGACCCTATCTAGCATAACTTGCCTCCAGGTCTTAGATGTGGGTGCAGAAACTGGTGCACACATTTTAAAAAGGGTCTGGGAGGGGAGTCTGTCATGAAAATATTTTATCAGCTGAGAAAGAGAGAGAGAGAAGGAAAAGAGAAAGGGAGAAAAAGAAAGAGAGAGAGAAAGAGAGAGAGAAGGAAAAGAGAAAGGGAGAAAGAGAGAGAGAAGGAGAGAGAGAAGGAAAAGAGATGTTTTTTTTTTTAGCTGTGGTTGGCAACTAGTTTCGGAGAAATAAAACACCGAATTCAGAATCGGTTATGTCGCCCCAAAGAGACGCATACTCTACAGCTAATAAAAGATTATTGAGTTAATAATTAACTCCGGTGGAAGGATGTGGACCATATGATATCAAATGAAGTCGAAAAAAGAGAAGAAATATTGTGAAATTAGCTTCTCTTTTTCCACTCATAATTCTATCTCAAATTGGATGCGCTGGACACACCTAAAATCGGAATGCTGTCGTAGAATTTCTACTTTTGGAAGGAGAAAGTGCTGCAAACGTTCATAAGTGGTCAGTGAATGTCCATCTACAAGACCCAAAGGCCACTTAAGGTAGAAGGCTACTGAATGAGATTGTTGTAAGGGAGGGTGGGGAGAAGTAAGTAAAAAGTGTATATGATGAGGACATACAGGATAGATATCGGTTGACCCTTGACCTGAAGTGACCAAAATTGTAATTGCCAAGGAAGCATCTTCTTGGGAGTCTGTCCCACAAATAACACGTCTTGGGGATGAAGCCGTCTGAGTGAAACTTACTTCTTGCCAAAGGAACAACAAGGGAATGGGGATGATTTGCCACTGTGGGCGTGGCATGGCGGGTCCTAACTTTGAAGGTTTGAGCGGATGAGGGGGACTAAGGAATGTAACTCGTCAGAACATCTGCCATAGAAATAGCGATAGAGAGACTGGCAACGATTCATCCGTGAAACAAAGGGTTGCAGAGTGGAGGATGATTAATCAGTAACAAGGTTTGGTAAGCGCTTTTGGACTCTATCAAGGTTGGAGAGCGACCACTTTGTAGCGCCAGATTTTAGATATGACCGTAATACTCCATTCCTGGTCGTGCTCTCGTAAAGATAAAGCATTTTTTACAGAAGGTTCATCCCGTACAAAACTAGGGGCAAGCGAGGTAGAGATGTACGTTAGAGGGCAGTTTGTGTGGATAACCCTAGACATGAACAGGTTATTGTAGTGATCGGGGAAACATCCACTTGGGAGCGCAGTGGTTTGCGTAAAGAGGCTGTTCGAGTGGAACTTACTTCTTGCCGATGGAAGACGGAGGGAATGTGAGTGGTTTGCTACTATATACTTTGCCGTGAAGATTAGAACTGGTGAAACCAAGGAATGTAGTTTTCCGAGCACATTCCGTGGAAGTAGCGATAGAGCCCCGAGAGGCTTGCCACGTCCCGCCTATGACTGATAGGTTGGAGGGTTAAAAATAGTTTCCCACAAGAACTCCGAGAAGCTTTTGAACTCTATCAAGGCTAGAGAGTGTAGTCTGGGTAGCTCCCGCCCAAATATGACAACTGTACTCCATTTTCGGCCTTATCTGGCTCTTGCAAAGGTAGAGGATAACATGTGGAGTTAGGTACTTACTGGAGCGGTACAGGAAGCAGGCTATTTAATCTGCATCTCTAGCGATGGCTCGTATGTACGAGTTCCAATTGAGGTCAGGTGTTAGTTTAAGGTCCAATAGTCTCTCAAGGAACGGTGCTATACCGAGAGGACATTCGTTCATCGCGCCTGGCAGTAGTTCGGGATCTAATCAGCAATATTACTAGTTAGCAGGAATTAGGTATTTTCTGGAGCGATGCAAGGAACATTCTTCCAGTATCTTTTGCGATGGCACGAATATATACGTTCGATCTTGTAGTGAGAGGCTAACTTCTCTGAAAGAGGATAAAACTAAAAATGCTGTTAGAAGATTAACTCTGGCAAAACTGTGTACAAGTGTTTAAATGAATCATAATAGTACCTGCAGTTTACTGCAGTCTCTTGGTTATCAGAGGTATGTGCAAAAATGGGTTCGCAATATGTTGGCAGACGCCATGGAGAAGACGAGGGTGGTTGCTTCACAAGATCTTTCTGGAGTTTCAAAATACGGATAGCAATTTCCCAAGCAGGATAGTCCCAGGAGATGAGACCTAAGTTCACCAGAAAGCAAAAGAAGATCAATAGAGTGGCGCCAACTAAACTCATTTAGAAATAAACCCCATCGAGAAATAGATGGATGGTCATTGCGTTTTGGGACCAGGAAGGCCTTTATGTCCAGCGACAACACTATCAAGTTTGACTCATACGTTACTACATTGTCAAAATTCAGAGCATGGCTTCTTCGAAAGTGGCCACATTTGAAGAAAAGTAATGTGCTTTTGCAACATGAAAATGCAAACTGTCACATTCATTTAAAGAGCAGAAAGCAATCATGACGCATAGCTGGGCAACCATACTTCATACAATCTGACTTGGCAGGGACAGATTGTATCTGTTTCGGCCCATAAAGGAAGCCGCAGAGGACAAGGGGAGAGATAACGCTTGTGTGAAACATGTAGGCATACCGTCACTCAAAAGTGGAATAAGGATTGAGAAGAACGGAAATATGTTGGAGTCTAGAATTGGATTTATTTGAATTTGTGTTCATTTTGTGATCTTTGCATGAAGCATGCAAATTATTAAATTTGTTGTGGTTAAACATTTTGAAAGACCTTCTTATATAACAACAGAAATACATAGATAGATAAATAGATAGATAGATAGATAGATAGATAGATACGAACAGACTGAGATAGATAGATAGATAGATAGATAGATAGATAGATAGATAGATATTCCGTGTAGTTCTTTGCAAAATCTATCTATCTATCTATCTATCTATCTATCTATCTATCTATCTATCTATCTATCTATCTATCTATCTATCTATCTATCCCGGTCTCTTCATATCTATCTATCTATGACTATATTATATTGGATAAATTTAATCAAAACAAAAATGCAATATTTGTTCACTTCAAGGAATTTTTTATATTATGCCTGCACATGCAATCATGCACATGCACACACACACACACACACACACACACACACACACACACACACACACACACACACACACACACACACACACACATATTTAGTCAGATGATCAGATAGAAGGATAAATATATATATATATATATATATATATATATATATATACACAGTGTGAGAGAAAGAAAGAAAGTTAGGTTGATAGAGAGAAAGTGTGTGTATGTGTGAGAGAGATAGAGAGAGTGAGAGAGAGTGAGAGAGGGGGGTGTAGTGGCTGAAATACATACATAAATACATCATAGTATATTTTTTTGCGATACTCTTTGAAAATAAACGTTTTTTTTTGTTTTTTATTTTTAATATTCAGCATTTATCCCAAAATTTGACTTAACTCTAGCAGAAAAACCTCTTCTCAAATGTCGTATCTTTAAAAGAATTATTCATGGACTTATCTTTTTGGTGTTGATAAAGATGAATTATGTATGCAGAAGGCCACCCATGCGGTTGGCACCTGTTTGCCACCCACCCACACCCTCGCATCCCTCTCGATTATAGCTCTTTAGTGTGACCCTGATTGTAATCGCAGGCAAACTGAATAAAACTAATAATAAAAGTTTCCTGCAAACACCTTGACAATATCCGGTCTCTGTTTTGACAAGAAGCGGCTGAAAGATTTGGGGAGGGGATAGACGACGTGAAGAGGCATTAGACTTTTGGTCGAGTGCTTTCAAATAAAAGAAGTTGATAATGGTTCAATCCCAGATATTGCATCTTCAACAAAATCTACCTTCATTTTCTACAGCTATCTTTAAAAAGTCTATGAGTTAGAGATTAAAAGCAGTTTATATCTATCTATCCATCTATATATCTATTGCAATTTGTTCCTGTTAATTTCGGACTGTTCTTACCAAGAGTGAAATGCTAAAAACTTTCCAGCAAACTAAAAAAGATTTTCGAAAAGATTCTGATATTTAGTCATTGGTCAGTTATTGGGAGATTGCGTCTCCTACAAGTTTTCATCATCGCCTGCCTGCCTGTCTGTCTGTCTGTCTGTCTGTCTATCTATCTATCTCAGTCTGTTCATATCTATATGTGTATCTATTTTTGGTTTTTTCCTATCTCTCTACTCACGGAATTAATATCTTTCTCGAGTTCCCGTTTCTTTTCCAATCCAGCAGGCAAATCCATGGCGTCTGCGTTTCTTCAGATCCTTCTTTCCCCATTTTCATTACCCCCACCCCACTCATGTTTCCACTCTCAATGCTACCAAATGTCTCCCTTGAGAAAGCGGCAAATTTAACGACCGCCATTTTGAAGTCTCTCTTTGCCTGCTGCCTAGGCAATTCGGTTCACTCGTCTCACACGAAGGGAAACAATAGTTACGACTCCCTTCTGTTGAATTTGAATTTTATATATTGCCCTTATTTCTTTCATAGTTTCCACTGGTCCCAAAAGCAGCATGCTTTAACGGAAACTCCAGGAAACTAACTTCTTTCGCTGATAAAAGTTCTTAATGTCTTTGGGTTCAAACCCTGTCGTCGTACATATTTATTGCACTTTTTTCTTCTTTTTTCCATGGCTTTTATTTTTATTTCTGTGATTTTAAGACATTGGCTGGTTTCAACGGAGCACATTGTTTATCTTGTTTTTTAACGTTATTTCTCAAGTATATTTATGCACATGTTTATACATATGTGTAGGTGTATAGAGAGTACATATGTTTATCTCATTGAAAGTATGGTAGGACAGATATTTGGCAACTGACATAAACTTCTTCACATCTATCTATTTATACTATCATTCTCTCTCTGATCTGTCTATTCTTTCTTTTTTCTTTCATATTATGTTCATTATCTATCTATCTGTCTATCTATCTATCTCAGTCTGTTTATATCTATCTATATATCTATCTAAATAAATATCTGTTGTAGAGTAGCTAGCATCCCTTCAGCATTCTACCAGATGGCCTGGCTCATAGCCTTAAATAGTCTACGATTAAGGACTTCAAAAGTTGATTAATAAGTTGATTAATAAGTTGATACTAAGCTGAATAATATTCAGATTGATCTTACTTTCTTTGACTATACAGCATTTGACCCTCCTCTATTCCTTGTAAGTTGTCTTGTTAATTGTTTTGTAATTTATTGCTCAGTTTTTTTGCATGTATCCGTTAGAGCCGGATACTGGTGCTGAATAAATATATTAAGAAATCATTCTTCTCTGTGTATCATTCACCTCGATGATACAACACTATCTATCTTTCTCAGTCTGTTCATATCTATCTATCTATTTTTTCTCAGTCTGTTTATATCTATCTATCTATCTATCTATCTATCTATCTATCTATCTATTTTTTCTCAGTCTGTTTATATCTATCTATCTATCTATCTATCTATCTATCTCTATCTATCTATCTATCGTGAAGCCTGTGTTTTCGTGAAGCCTGTGTTTCGATGGAAGGTTTTTCATTTCATAATTGATAAGTTTGTTTGGTTTGTTTCTTTTTTGGTTTTTGTTTAGTGGCCTATCAACCCATAATACTGAAATCAAAACATATTGTACGTAATGTCATTTTATTTTTTGGGAGATAATAATAGTGATAGAAGTCTAACTAATTAACCTATAGCTGAGGAGAGAAAATACGGATTCATATCTTTCTCAAAAGTATTTTCGCGTAATTAAATAAAACAAACCCAAATGGTATTGGAACTAGGTTCACTGATTAACAATTCCATACCATTAACCATTACACCACCCACGCATCCAAGCTTACAGCACCTGGTATTTCCAAGTGGTCGACCATCTAGTTCCAGCATTGTTTACCTTAGGGGATTGTATGTGAACCGGTGTTTCAACGTGATATGACCCTGGGTTTTGAAAAGTTTGGCCCAACACAATCTTCCTGCTTCTCATAATATTTATCTAGTGAGAGAGGAAAAGAGAGAGAAAGATAGAGAGAAGGAAAGAGAGAGAGAGAGAGAGAGAGAAAAAGGAGAGATGGAGAGAAAGAGATAGATAGATAGATAGATAGATAGAGAGAGAGAGAGAGAGAGAGAGACTGTAAGTAGCCCGTCTGATGTTTAAGATAGTTAAGCTTTAACATTGCATTTTGTTTTTGTTAATTTAAAATTCGTAGTGCGTGCAAGTTTGAAAGTTGAAAGTTTGACACAACATAATCTTCCTGCTTCTCATTTATCTAGTGAGAGAGGAAAAGAGAGAGAAAGATAGAGAGAAGGAAAGAGAGAGAGAGAGAGAGAGAGAGAGAAAAGGAGAGCTGGAGAGAAAGAGATAGATAGATAAATAGAGAGAGAGAGAGAGAGAGAGAGAGAGGCTATAAGTAGCCCGTCTGATGTTTAAGATAGTTAAGCTTTAACATTGCATTTTGTTTTTATTAATTTAAAATTCGTAGTGCGTGCAAGTTGAAAGTTTGACACAACATAATCTTCATACTCCCACAGTAACCAGTACAATAGTATGATTATTCATTAGTATCCTGCACTCGTCCTATTAAGTACTTCAATTATATTCAAATGCAGTATTAAATTGTTTAAAGTATTAAATAATATATAACTTGATCTCGCGGACTTTAATTAAAAACTGAAACTTGCAAAAGATTCTAAAGAAAACCTTTTTTTATTTATTCTCTATCAAGTATAATTTCTACTTGAAACTTTTGTCGCAACACTTTGCAATTTATAAACATGGTTTGTTAAACAAAGATGAAATGATGCTTACATTAGTTGTAGTTGTACTGTAGATGTTTTCTAGGATGTATCCCGTGGATAGAACAGATATGCTTTTACAAAAAAGATGCACTTTATTCGGCTATACCTTGCTGCAATCGGAACAGTTTTGTTTTGCCTAAATATTTAAAATACACCCGACAGTTAGGCCTCCGTGGAGGGGGGGTAGCGTAGAACCATTTCTTAATTACAGTTGTTTCCAAGCCCATCCTGAATCGTGGTGGTAGCACTTGTTATTGTTTCAGCTATAGACAAATAGTGAACCCTGTGAAAGTATATATATATATATATATATATATATATATATATATATATATATATATATATATATGCATTTCTATAGTAAAATAACATCAATACATTTTTATATAAAGAAGTTACCAACAATACCTATTTATAGTAAAGTTATCAACAATGTATCAATCAATATGAAAGAATACATTCATGACCTTCATACATATAATATCCTACAATTCATACATTCATACATTCCTTCATACATATAATATCCTACAATTCATACATTCATACATTCCTTCATACATATAATATCCTACAATTCATACATTTCATACATTCCTTCATACAAATAATATCCTACAATTCATACATTCATACATTCCTTCATACATATAATATCCTACAATTCATACATTCATTCCTTACATAGTAATACATTCCTTCATACATATAATATCCTACAATTCATACATTCATACATTCCTTCATACATATAATATCCTACAATTCATACATTCATACATTCCTTCATACATATAATATCCTACAATTCATACATTCATACATTCCTTCATACATATAATATCCTACAATTCATACATTCATTCATTCCTTCATACATATAATATCCTACAATTCATTCCTTCATACATTCCTTCATACATATAATATCCTACAATTCACATTCCTTCATACATTCCTACAATTCATACATTCCTTCATACATATAATATCCTACAATTCATACATTCATACATTCCTTCATACATATAATATCCTACAATTCATACATTCATACATTCCTTCATACATATAATTCATATCCTACAATTCATACATTCATACATTCCTTCATACATATAATATCCTACAATTCATACATTCCTTTCCTTCATACATATAATATCCTTCACAATTCCTTCATACATATTCCTACATTCCTTCATACATAAATATCCTACAATTCATACATTCCTTCATACATATAATATCCTACAATTCATACATTCATACATTCCTTCATACATATAATATCCTACAATTCATACATTCATACATTCCTTCATACATATAATATCCTACAATTCATACATTCATACATTCCTTCATACATATAATATCCTACAATTCATACATTCCTTCATACATATAATATCCTACAATTCATACATTCATACATTCCTTCATACATATAATATCCTACAATTCATACATTCATACATTCCTTCATACATATAATATCCTACAATTCATTCATACATTCCTTCATACATCCATTCCTTCATACATATAATATCCTACAATTCATTCCTTACATTCCTTCATACATATAATATCCTACAATTCATACATTCATACATTCCTTCATTCCTTTCATACATTCCTATACATACATTCCTTCATACATATAATATCCTTCATACATTCATATACATATCCTACAATTCATACATTCATACATTCCTTCATACATATAATATCCTACAATTCATACATTCCTTCATACATATAATATCCTACAATTCATACATTCCTTCATATATATAATCCTACAATTCATACATTCCTTCATACATTAATATCCTTTCATACATTCATATTCCTTCATACATATAATCCTACAATTCATACATTCATACATTCCTTCATACATATAATCCTACAATTCATACATTCATACATTCCTTCATACATATAATATCCTACAATTCATACATTCCTTCACATTCCTTCATACATTCCTTCATAATATCCCTACAATTCATACATTCATACATTCCTTCATACATATAATATCCTACAATTCATTCCTTCATACATATAATATCCTACAATTCATACATTCATACATTCCTTACATATAATATCCTACAATTCATACATTCCTTCATTATAATATCCTTCCTACACAATTCATACATTCATACATTCCTTCCTTCACATATAATATCCTACAATTCATACATTCATACATTCCTTCATACATATAATATCCTACAATTCATACATTCATACATATTCCTTTCATACATATAATATCCATACATATAATCCTCATTCATTCATTCATACATTCCTTCATACATATAATATCCTACAATTCATACATTCATACATTCCTTCATACATATAATATCCTACATTCATACATTCCTTCATACATATAATATCCTACAATTCATACATTCATACATTCCTTCATACATATAATATCCTACAATTCCTTCATACATTCATACATTCCTTCATACATATAATATCCTACAATTCATACATTCATTCACATTCCTTCATACATATAATATCCTACAATTCATACATTCATACATTCCTTCATACATATAATATCCTACAATTCCATACATTCATACATTCCTTCATACATATAATATCCTACAATTTCATACATTCATACATTCCTTCATACATATAATATCCTACAATTCATACATTCCTTCATACATATAATATCCTACAATTCATACATTCATACATTCCTTCATACATATAATATCCTACAATTCATACATTCATACATTCCTTCATACATATAATATCCTACAATTCATACATTCATACATTCCTTCATACATATAATATCCTACAATTCATACATTCCTTCCTTCATACATATAATATCCTACAATTCATACATTCATACATTCCTTCATACATATAATATCCTACAATTCATACATTCATACATTCCTTCATACATATAATATCCTACAATTCATACATTCATACATTCCTTCATACATATAATATCCTACAATTCATACATTCCTTCATACATATAATATCCTACAATTCATACATTCATACATTCCTTCATACATATAATATCCTACAATTCATACATTCATACATTCCTTCATACATATAATATCCTTCATTCATACATTCATACATTCCTTCATACATATAATATCCTACAATTCATACATTCATACATTCCTTCATACATATAATATTCATACATTCATCATTCCTTCATACATATAATATCCTACAATTCATACATTCCTTCATACATATAATATCCTACAATTCATACATTCATACATTCCTTCATACATATAATATCCTACAATTCATACATTCATACATTCCTTCATACATATAATATCCTACAATTCATACATTCATACATTCCTTCATACATATAATATCCTACAATTCATACATTCAATATATAATATCCTACAATTCATACATTCATACATTCCTTCATACATATAATATCCTACAATTCATACATTCATACATTCCTTCCTTCATACATATAATATCCTACAATTCATACATTCATACATTCCTTCATACATATAATATCCTACAATTCATACATTCATACATTCCTTCATACATTCATACATTCATACATTCCTTCATACATATAATATCCTACAATTCATACATTCATACATTCCTTCATA